TTGGCCATCCTGGCCTCCAAGGAGCACTCTGGCTGCACTTCTTCCAACACGGATCTGTTGGTTCTTTTGGCAGCCCATGGCACTTTCAATATTCTCCTCCAACACCATAACTCAAAAGCATATATCTAGATACATGTTAGGGATTTGAGTTTTGTTCTATGTTTTTCTCTCATTCACTCCAGGACCTTCTATTGTGTCCCTGTTTAAAAGGTCAGGAGTGGTACCAGCGTATTGTCTAGTTCTCAGGTTAGAAGAGGCTATGGTTCATGTGGGCTATTAGTACTGTGGATTCGTTTCATCTTTGAACTTTTCTTTCTCATATATATATATATATTGCAGTCTTTTTTTTTATGTCTTTATTGTGAATTGAGTGATAGTTTACATGGGAGAACATCAGTTTTGCACTCATCCTATTTATTGTTTTTAGTTTCATTGCAATGATTACAATCCCCTCTCTGAATCATCATTCAATAGTATTTGCTTCCATTTACTCTGAGGATTTGTTTCTTTGGTGGGGGGCAGTGTACACAAAAACACTCAGGAATATATAGTCATATAAGCAACCAAAGGGCACATTCTGCAAGCCTGCCTCCAGGCCGCCAGCACACAGTCTTTCTCTCTCCATGAATCTAGAGTCCTCAGCTGCTCCCTCTCTCCATGCCATCATCTCGGCCTCCACCTCTGGTGTTGCTGCTTCTCTGGAAAGGGGCTCTTCTCCCTTGATGATCTTAAAGTCCTCTGTAAGATTAACTATTTGTTATAAAACTTCTACCTTTACAGTTGTGACAATCACAGTTAATCATGATAACAATTACTATTGAATCATAAGAATCTTATCCCCATCTCCTTTACACCAGACCTGCCATTATCTTTTGCAAGCAGTAGTTGCATCTTACATGGCTGTTACACAAGCTTCTAAGACCCCAGACACTACTTGCAAAGCTAGAAAGTAGAACATCTTTGTGCCAGTTGACTACACTAAGATTTAGACCATAATCTTTGTCAGTTGACTAAGTTGTCTCTCTAGACCAGGGGTGGGGAATGTCATGCCCATGGGCCGAGAAGTCCCCTCAAAATCATTTGGTCTAGCCCTGCCAAGGCAGCTGCAGTTTCAGCCAACACATTAGGAGTGAGTTTTAAATGTTGGACCAATTATAGCAGGTTAATTTTTAAGTTGATAATTTTGTATGGCCCACAAATGATGTTATAAATTTTGGCAAAAAAAAAACAGTTCCCCACCCCTGTTCTAGACTATGGTCCCAAGTCTTTTAACCTAGTAAATCAATCCTGTGAGTTATTTATGTCTAGGAAGCTTTCACAAGGAGCTCTGGTAGCGTAGTGGTTACGAGTCGGGCTGCTAGCCTCAAGGTCAGCAGTTCAAAACTACCAGCTGTTCCATGGGAGACAGATGAGGTATTCTGCTCCTGTAAAGATTTACAGCCTCAGAAACCCTATATGGGGTCGCTATGAGTCGGAACCGACTCCACGGCACATCACCACCACCACCACCAAGAAGCTTCCATAACTGTTGTGTTTGTGATGTGTTTGTTATATATGAGTGGGCTTCCAAAAGTTTGTGGAAATTTTCCATTATCTTTTAACTTAATTTTTCCATGAACTTTCTTTTGTGTGTGAGTTAAGTGAAGGTTTACAGATAAGATCATTAGTTTTACATTAAAATATCTCAATGATGATGATCTACTCCATGAAACAACATTTGTCCTGTTTCATCCTTGCGGTTAACCATGTACAAATATCCTCTTTCAAACTCATATATTTGTGGGATATATAAATAGATACATATCCTACTCTTCCTCCCATACTCATTCAGCCTGTATCTCTGTCCATGTTACTTTCCATATACAGTTAGTGATCATTTTTACCATCTTTTTAATGAATGCTGTTGGAATCTGAATTGGGATTGCATTATATCTATAGATTTCTTTGGGTAGTATTGACATTTTTACAGTGTTAAGTCTTCCAATCCATAAGTATGGTATAGTCTTCCATTTTTGTAAGTATCTTTTGATTTTTGTGGTAGTGTCTTGTAGTTTTCTTTATGTGTTTTTTTCTCTGGTTAGAGTTATTCCTAAGTATTTCATTTAACCACTCTAAAAGTAGTTCTAGTGCTCCCTTCAGGACAACCCCCCCTCCAAGACTGAAACTCAAAGGGAACACATGAGTAGGC